ATTTGGTCGCAGAATCACTTCTGCCTGAGGAGCCAGCCCAGCATGTTGAGCATGTTGATCCTATAAAGCTCAAAGAGCTCGAATTGAGAGAGCTTGAAATCAAAACACAATTGAGAGAGAAAGAAATGCAAAATGAAAAAGAAATAAGATTGAGAGAACAAGAAATTCAAAAAGAAAAAGAAGTTGAATTAAAACGACTTGAATTAGAAGCTCAATCAAAAACTGATGAACATGCTACTATGCATCAACATTTTGAAAATAGGTTTGACGCTTCAAAATTTCTTAAATTTGTACCTAAATTTCAAGAGAAAAATGTTGATAAATACTTTACACATTTTGAAAAAGTTGCTCAGAGCCTAGACTGGCCTAAATCTGCATGGCCAGTTATGCTCCAGAGTGTATTCATTGGCAAAGCAAGTGAAATATTTGCCTCTCTCTCTGGAGAAGTATGCTCTGATTATGACCTAGTTAAAAATGCAATTCTTAAAGCTTATGAACTAGTACCAGAAGCTTACAGACAAAAATTTAGAAATGCCCACAAACAGAGTGACCAAACCCATGTTGAGTTTGCTCGAGAGCAAGAGCAGCTTTTTGACAGGTGGCTTGTCTCAAAGGATGTATCTGAAGAGTTTAAAAAGCTCAGAGAGCTTATGCTAATAGAACAATTTAAAAACTGTGTTCAATACCACATAAGAACTTATTTAGATGAACACAAGGTAGAAACTTTAAGTCAAGCTGCCACCTTGTCTGATGATTATGCTCTTACTCATAAGGGTAGTTTTATCAAAGGTAATCCTAACTTTAGAGGTTATCAAGGTAACAAACCTTCATATGATTCAAAATCAAATCAGTCCTCATCATCAAATACATCAAACAAAGCAAAAGACCAGTCTTATTCATCACAGAGTTCTAGCTCAAAATCAGATCAATTAAATTCTTCAGGTCCAAAATCAAATGTCACCTGTAATTATTGTAAAAAGCCTGGTCATCTTATTTCTGAATGCTATAGGATAAAGAATAGAAGAGAGATGTCTGGTTCTGCTCATTCAAATGGTTGTGCTACAGTTCCCATTTCAAGAAAGCCCATTGTTTGGGATTCATATACTCATACTGAGAAATCCACTCATAGTGATATTATGGAGGATTATAAGCCTTTCATGTCGGAAGGATCTGTGTCACTGTCAAGTGATGGTACCAATTCAAAGCCAATTAAGATTCTTAGAGATACGGGTGCATCTCAGACTTTGTTGTTAGAAGGTGTCCTTCCTTTATCTGAGGAGTCATTCACAGGTACCCATATTTTGATGCAAGGCATTGAATTAGGATTTACTAAAGTTCCCCTCCATCGTATTCATATCACATCAGAGTTAGTCAAAGGGCCAGTTATTGTTGGTGTTAGGCCACAACTTCCTGTTGAAGGAGTCGCATTGCTTTTAGGCAATGATTTAGCTGGGGGTAAGGTATCATTAGACCCCATTGTTTCTGATCAGCCTTGTTCTATTGAGGATTCTGTCCAAGAGGACTCTGATATATATCCTGCTTGTGCTGTTACTAGGGCTATGGCTAAAAAGTTAGCTAATAGCGGGGATTCGTCTGTGGGAGATGACTTTGATAGTGGGTTTTTAAGCTCCTTGTTTGATGATGAATGTCACTCACCACTTGTTAAAGATGGTCCTTATCCTATTTTAAAGGCAAATTCTTCATTGAAACAGCCTTCTGTTCGAGCCAAGCAGTCATCTATTGAGGCATATTCTTCATTGAAAAATCCTATTGCCAGGGGTGATTCACCTTCTGAGCAGGATCACTATTTTAATGCGGTTTCGCCCGCTCTTGCTAGTCCTGATGAAGTTTCATCTTCTTCTGCTAGTGTTCATGAGGTTTCATTCCCTCCTTGTTCTGAGGTTACATCCTCTTCTAGTTCTGAGGTTTCATCCTCTATTTCTGATAGTGATTCTTTGAAAAAAGATCCTCATTCTAAACACATGTTAATTTATGAACAAGAGCATGATCCATCACTCATTGATCTTCATAAAAGATGTCTTACAATTGATGAAGCTGATAAGGTCCCTGTTTGTTTCTACAAAAAGGATGGCATATTAATGCGAAAGTGGAGACCTCCTGAAGCTTCCCCTGAAGACGATTGGGCAATTGTACATCAAATTGTTGTCCCAAATTCATATCATAAGGAAATCTTGAGTCTAGCTCATGATTCTCCCATGGCAGGTCATTTAGGAGTAACTAAAACATACCATAAAATACTCAATCATTTCTATTGGCCCAAATTAAAACAAGATGTCCAAGAGTATTGTAGGTCTTGTCACACATTTCAAATGGTAGGGAAACCTAACCAGAAAATTCCAATTGCTCCTTTACAACTTATACCTGCATTTGATGAACCATTCAGTAAGGTTCATATTGACTGTGTTGGTCCATTACCAAAAACAAAATCTGATAATCAATATCTGCTCACTATTTTGTCTATGGCCACACAGTTTCTAGAAATAAAATCACATCTTATGCTTAGAAATACCAAAACCAAATATATTGTGAAATCACAAATCAACAATTTCACATTAGTGGAGCTACCAAAGGAGCTCATATCTGACTTACAATCTGACTCAGTGCTGAATGATTTCATTGGCATTGATAAAACTACCCCTGTGAGGTGTAGAGAGCTACACATGATGAAAAAGTATGTTGAGCGTGATAAAATTTCTTTACTCAACATGAGCTTGCGCTCTTAGCTCATAGGCCAAACTTGTATGTAAATGACAACTATATGTTATTCAAGATTCAGATATTGTAATTTATAAAGATAAACTCATGAAGATTATATTATATGGTAGGCAAATTAGACATTTGTGATAACTGTCACTTTATTTTAAAAATATATAAAAACATTTGCCTAAACAGTGAAATTGATACTATATGAACTATAAGATTGCATCTAGATTATGTGAGCATTATAGGTGATCATTAAATAGTGTCACAAGATTACTTGATAACATCAGAGTGTACAATTAGAAATACTTACATAAGATCATGTGATAATTTAAAACATTGTACTAGTTTAGTGTTTGTCAGACTCAAAAATGTATGCTATTGTACATGTTATATGATCTATTGCGTGTATTGTATTTATGACTTAATGCATAACTAATGTAGATATTATTGTAGTATGGGATTATAAGAACATTATATGTTATTAGATTGTACTCACACTGTAACGATTGAAAGTATTATATACTTGTAAATATACTTCATATAAAAAGACTATTGTAAGCAAATGTCATGTACGTCTCAACCTCGCTTTTAGAAATTGTAACGCTCGCTACTCAAGATATTATTGTAAAAGTTTTTCATTGCATTCAAAACTTTTCTTTTAAGGAGGGAGGTGTTACAGTAGTGAGCTACGTGTATATTATATTCGACTATATTCACTTATAGTTTAATTTGTAATCTATGCTTGCTACATATGTTGAGCTATTCTTTATTAGAGATCTTAGGTCAAGGTCACAATGACATTATACACTGTATCTTGTAAACAAAACTGAATGAAAACTGAACTGAATGACTCATTAACCCTTGACCATCCAGATAGTTCTAGAAATTATAACCATTCATTAAGATTTAATCATGTGACTGGAGATGTCCAATCAAAACTCAACAAGTAGTCTCAGTTCCAGAAGATTCTTTCTAGATGATTCTTTCACACTATAAATAAAACTGCAAAGTGGACTCAGTAGCAGATAATTAAGTAATCATAACTGGACATCTCAAAGGAACTAAATAAAGCAGAATTTCAAAGTTGATCAAAAGACATCTTCTTAGCAGAATATTACAGACACCTACTGTGGGAACATTAACAATATAAACACACAACCTGAGGACTTTATATGGACATATATTACAACACACACTATATACGGATTATCATATACATTCGTGGATTATCATAATTATTTGTGGATTATCATCAAACATTATTGGATACGAACATTATAGGATTACGACAAACATTATTGGATTATTACAAACATTGGAGAACTATTAACGATTATTGAAACATTTCGTGATCCGGAACATTCTCAAGGATCGTCAACGACATTTATCGACATCAAAAAATAAGCCGTATCATTGATTGGACATCACATAAGTATTAAATCTCCTTTATATTATTGTTATATTATTTAGTTTTCAAAATATAAATATATTGTTATCATATTTTAATTGCTGTTTTTACTTTCTGTTATTTTCGTACGTAACATACATAACACGTATGAACCAAACAACTTTATTTTTTCACTCTTTGGTATTTCAGAAAGAATACTTCATGAATTACATAACACTTATGAACCAAACAACTTTATTTTTTCACTCTTTGGTATTTCAGAAAGAATACTTCATGAATTACATAACACTTATGAACCAAACAACTTTAGTTTTTCACTCTTTGGTATTTCAGAAAGAATACTTCATGAACTACATAACACTTATGAACCAAACAACTTTATTTTTTCACTCTTTGGTATTTCAGAAAGAATACTTCATGAATTACATAACACTTATGAACCAAACAACTTTATTTTTTCAGTCTTTTGTATTTCAGAAAGAATACTTCATGAACTACATAACACTTATGAACCAAACAACTTTAGTTTTTCAGTCTTTTGTATTTCAGAAAGAATACTTCACTAACTACATAACACTTATGAACCAAACAACTTTATTTTTTCACTCTTTTGTATTTCAGAAAGAATACTTCATGAACTACATAACACTTATGAACCAAACAACTTTAGTTTTTCACTCTTTGGTATTTCAGAAAGAATACTTCATGAATTACATAACACTTATGAACCAAACAACTTTATTTTTTCACTCTTTGGTATTTCAGAAAGAATGCTTCATGAACTACATAACACTTATGAACCAAACAACTTTAGTTTTTCAGTCTTTGGTATTTCAGAAAGAACACTTTATTTCAACTTTTATTTCAGAAAGAACACTTCATGAACTATGTCACACTTATGAAGCATGAGGGCACAACAAGAGCAGAACAAACAAATGAAATCTCAAAGTATGCTGAGATGGTTGAGAAGGAGGAAGGACGCAAGGAAGTTAAACTGAAGGTTGAGATTGACCCCTGGTACAATGCCAACCAGCAAGCAAAGAAGCTGCTAATGCCAGAGAAAAAAGAATGTATGTTGATTTCTCAAAGTGTAGAATAAGTTGGATTTCAAAAATTAGTTTAATGTACAAATTATGGCTTGGACAAACCGGAAAGACACCATTGGAAAGCTGACATAATCAGCTTTTGGATCCATGGGTATTTGTTGAAGAAAGTGTTGAATTATTTTTCTGTTTTTTGAGTTGTTTCTTTGAGCTCGAACACCAATACAAAAATTGACAAAAAATAAGAATTCTGTTTTCTGGTCATCTTATTATTTTGAAGACCATGTATCCGTTTGTGTAAACGAAACAACTTTTAAATGTTGAATACAGAATCATCTGAAAACAAAGTCATTAATTGAGTAGACTTGATTATTGTAAATGTTTGATTTGAACAAACTGAACTACCTTAAAACATTGAACTACTTTAGATACCGTAAAACCTGTGAACGTTGAAAACAACCTGGGGCGGTGAATTTGTACAATCTGCGATCTGTTCAGATAAATTTTGTCGTAGTAATGATGCATTGTGGAATCAATCCAAGAATTAATCCAAAAATCGGTGAATTTGTACGATCCTGGGATTAATCTCAGGATAAATCTCAATCCACCTCTTGAATAAATAAGATTTTTCTGAATTCCAATGCAAATTGGATGAATCTTGGGGATTCACCCCATAATCCTCGGATTGTATGAATTCACCAAATATTAATCGAATGAGTAATCCAATATTTGTCCCAAAAGATAAAATTTATCCGGATTGGATTGGGGATTGTACGAATTCATGGCCTCTGATGTTACTTGTCCATTTTGTTGGCATTCAACATTTGGAGGTTCATTATTTTATCATTAAGTTTATGGGTAACAGAACTTTGAATTGTTTCACGTTACAGATTTTACTGTTTCACAGGTTTCACTGTATTACAGGTTTTACTCTATTACAGGTTTACAGTTTTACAGGTTTTACTGTATTACAGGTTTTACTCTATTACAGGTTTACAGTTTTACAGGTTTTACTGTATTACAGGTTTTACTCTATTACAGGTTTACAGTTTTACAGGTTTTACTGTATTACAGGTTTAAATGTATTACAGGTTTTACTGTATTACAGGTTTAAATGTATTACAGGTTTTACTGTATTACAGGTTACTGTATTACAGTTTTACAGGTTTTACTGTATTACAGTTTTACAGGTTTTACTGTTTTACAGTTTTACAGGTTTTATAGTTTTACAGGTTTTACTCTATTACAGGTTTACAGTTTTACAGGTTTTACTGTATTACAGGTTTAAATGTATTACAGGTTTTACTGTATTACAGGTTACTGTATTACAGTTTTACAGGTTTTACTGTATTACAGTTTTACTGTTTTACAGTTTTACAGGTTTTATAGTTTTACAGGTTTTATAGTTTTACAGGTTTTACTCCATTACAGGTTTACAGTTTTGCAGGTTTTACTAAAAATACAGGTTTTACTGTTTACCTGGAGTTCACCTCATTGGAACATTTGAATCCTATACTAACCAATATGTTCTAATTTCCAGTTCATGGGAACTCCCAGAAAGGCAGAGGAGGGGGAGGCAATAATAAAAATGAGTCCTGGCCCCCCAGAGGAGGTGGATCAAGAGGGGGGTCTAACAGAGGAGGCGCCAGGGGAGGTGCGAGGGGAGGGGCAGGAAGAGGTATGTGGAAATGTCAAGTTATCCCAATTGGCCACTACATAGAGTTCCCCATTAATTCCTTTTCACCGCTATATTGTCCGAGGTCGTATGTCATACAAAATGACAACATTAAAAAATTTGCAAACCTTTTTGTGAACAGTGTTCGGTGGCTGGTGTTCAGAGTTTTGCATCTGTAACGATTTGTAATTACTAACAAGGTAGTGACATTTTGTTGTGTTAATGCCTTGTTTAATGGTTCTGCAATATTCACTTTATAAGTATGTTTCAAAACTGAACTGGAACCAAACTTGTAGAAATCGCTATATTTTAAATTGTCAAATGAACAATAAAAGATAGATGGAAGTATGTGATTATTTTATTGTCAAAAATTCCAGGAGGTGGGAATCGTGGAAGAGGTCGGGGAGGTGCAAGATATGACGGTTATGATGATTATGATGCTATTGATGAATATGGTAACTATGATGACATGTTGTCCAGTTACCGAGCAACCCAGAAACGTGCTGCCCCATATGCTGGGTATGGTACACCAAAAGCTGCACGTCGTGATGTTTACGAGGATATGTATGGAGGCTACGAGGATGAATATAACGACCCTTACTATGATGGTATGCATGTATAAAACATTTTTAATTCTCTGAAAATGAAAATTTTGGACAGGGGGTTAATAATTTCTGGGGCCTCACCACCGATATGAATTAAAAGAGTTCGTGAAAATCTAAATTCTGATTTTTTTTTTTATTTATCATGTTTTGTTCAGTACAATAATATATAATAAAAGGAAATTTCAAACAGGCAAAAATCTAAATTGTGATGAATCTACAATATGTATAGTAACATTTATATATAATGGCACCAAACTGAGTCCAGAATATATACAGGGTGTCGAATAAGTCCTGCCCCCCCCCCCCCCCCCCTTTACAGCCAAAACCAAGATATATGGGACCAAGTGTGATATATCATTGGAAAGGTCTTCCAAAGTTATGTTGATTGGCATAAATCTGATACATGTCATCAATGTCACAAATTTTTACATCATATGAATTGAGGTGACCATAGGCCTATAGAAACATGGCAATTTGGCGTATTTGGCAGGATTTTAAGAATCGAGTATCAGAAAAGTCAAAGGACCTAAAAATGACAACCTATGTATATGGCAATGAATTAAACCAATATCTGGATAGGGTTAGATAAGTAGAAAATAAAGGTGCAAGGAAAGTGGTGAAAACCTTTTTGTAACAAGTGGAATGCAAAAAAGGTTAACTTTTTGACATATTTCTGAGTTCATGTCCTTCCCATTTTGACGCAATAAAAGCTGCTTAAGGAGGGTACATTTACTCCAAAGGACAGCATGAAAATATAGGTGAATTTCATCCAAAATACTTGAGAGTTGGTAAGTTAACATAACTTTGGATGATCTTTCCAATGGTATATCACACTAGGTACCATCTCTTAATGGGACTTATTTGACACCCTGTAATATAGGATTATAAGGGTCAAAAACACAATATATCTTACAAGCAGTACAGGAAGTGTTTTCTCTGCAATTATACTCACAGGTGTTGCTGTATATCTAAATTGGGTGGAATAGAGCATATGACATATCACAGTTTCATGTATGTTTTACTACATTTTGACCAATTGAATCTTCAGACCTATTTGTATCTTGATTATGTAATTATTACTTTTTATGTCATCACCAAAAGTGGTGACATGTTGTTAGGGTTTCTTTTTATGGTGGCAGTTGGCCTCCAGCGCTCAGTGTCTGTTGTGACATTTTGCATGATGATGCCTTGTTATGTCTTTCAGTCAATCCATTTTCATGTCATGCTTGAATATTTATATTTCCAGCACCCCAAAGAGGACATGGGGGGCCTGGACCGTCAGGCTACAATGAACCTGGAGGATACGGACCTGGGGTAAGAAAAACAAATCTAAATATGCAAATTAAATATTTGTCATTATTTGTCTTTCTACTGTTATATGTCAATAGAGGAGTTTCCATAAAACTTTGAAACGTTAAAAATGTTAAAAAATACATTTACCCAATATAAGGATCTTTAATGTTAAATCACAATCCGCATCAGTATGTTCATATAGTTACATTCCAATGATGTTTTATGTTGATCCAAATATAATTACTTATTAGATCATCTTGCTTTATGTTTCCATGTGTTCTGGCCCTACCAACACCCATGCTGCCATCTACTTTTCCATTTATATAGAATTATGGTATATTGTGAAACCATAACAAATGTTTAGAATATTACCTCATAAAGTTGAAGTTAATAAAAGTGTACATATTGTATTTATTCAATAATTTTTAACTTTTTCAGGGTGGCGGTGGTGGAAAATCCAAAAAGGTTGATGAAATGTTGCAGAATTTGGTAAGTGTACCCTTAGTCACATTTCAACCTAATACACCCTTGGTATATGCGGTGACCGAAAATAGACCGGCTAGGTTTAACATGACTGACTGACTGGTGCAGATTAACACTTATTATTGAATTTAAATTACCTATGAACTGCTCAGTATCTACATTTTTATATCAAATTTGAAATCTATGATATCAAATAATATATGATATAAAAAAATTATGAAATAGATTGAATTGAATTGATGTCTTGAAATGTAAGAAAGCTCCCCATATTTCTTTATGATTTTTATGAATGATTTATGATTGTCTAAAAATTTGTCAAAATTTGAGAACCTTTCAAACATTCCAAGATATCATACATGTCATAGATTTCAATTTTTGCACAAAAAGTAGATATTAAGCTAGTTATGGGAAATTTAAAATTTAGAAATAACTGTTAACTGCACCAGTCAGGATGTTCTATCAAATAATATATGATATTAGAAATTATGAAATAGATTGAATTGAATTGATATCTTGGAATGTAAGAAAGCTCCCCTTTGGCACGAAAAAGAAGATATTAAGTGACTTATGGGTTATTTAAAATTTAGAAATAACTGTTAACTGCACCAGTCAGGATGTTCTTAACCCAGCCAGTCATTATTTTTGCTGCATATACCAACAGTGTAATAGAAATAAAAATTTAATCAGTTTTAAAATAGCTTGTAGTTACTGGACAACAAGTGAACAGCTCTCATGGTGAAAAATATGAATTACTCATGACTAATACAATGACTATTTAAATCACTATGACTATTTAATCAATGACTATTCAACTACCCACAATTATAACATATAATTGCACCAACTCAAGAAGAACTGAGTAGCTCACATAATTATACATGTATGTTACTATGTATCAGGAACTTCTCCTTAGCTTTCCCTATATGGTCCTATAAGCCTTATATGGATCTATCACATGACATTCAAAATGGCGGACAACATTAATTTGTATCCTATATGGTCCTATAAGCCTTATATGGATCTATCACATGACATTCAAAATGGCGGACAACATTAATTTGTATCCTATATGGTCCTATAAGCCTAACATGGATGACATGACCCCCAATACCAACTCTGAACTTTGGGACATATATATTACATTTTTGCATTGTGTTTTAGACTGACTGTATAGTGAACAGTGAAGATGACGCTGACATGGCCTTACAAGTTTCCAGTGCACTCACGCAAGCCTTGATGAAATATATATTACATTTTTGCATTGTGTTTTAGACTGACTGTATAGTGAACAGTGAAGATGACGCTGACATGGCCCTACAAGTTTCCAGTGCGCTCACACAAGCCTTGATGAAATACAGGAGCCAGAAAGTGACAAGAGTAAGCCTACTTTTTTTTAAAGTAAACATTGATATTTGATATATTTCATATATATCCCATATATATAGTAGTTTCATTTTCTCTAAAAATAAGCAACAAATTTGACATGAAACCTAAGTATCCGGTTGGCATGGCAACATGACAACGGGATATGTGGAGCAAGAGAATGACACTTTTTGAGTTAGAAAAAAGTTGACACTTGAAGGGTGTTAAAGGCGACCAAATTTATTTCAAAGGTGTCAGTAATGGCTATTAATCAATTATTTGTTCATTAGACCATTGCTATATGTGTGATGTGATATCATACATGCTATAGTTGGCAACTGTGATGTCATTGACCTGAAGAATGCCTTGCGCCAAAAGCAGCCCAATAAGCATAAAATCCAGTTCCATTTCGACAATGCGCCATTCCATACCTCAATATTAACTCAAACTTCACTGAAAATATGCGCATGCCTTAGCTTACCCATGCGCCCTTCTCACCTGATCTGGCTTCCTCTGACTTTTATCGTTATGGTGAACTGAAGGACCAATTACGAGGACAGGACATATTTTTGAACTTTAAAATGAAGTCTGTCTTGCAGTTCTAGGCTTTCTGAGACAGGTGATGGGGATGTGTTTGATCAAGGTTCCCGCAGACATACTGAGTGTACATAAAGGGAAAAGAGACTATTTTGAAAATTAAATTAAGAACTCGCAATAAAAATGGTCAAATTGAAAAAATAATTAACATGCAGAGTTCCATCTCTTCCACCAAATCAACCTCTTCCACCCATGTTGATACCTCAATAGAAGTAAACATAAACAGTTTCTATGTGTAGAGTGTATTTATTGTTTTGAATTAATCTTATATTGTTTGTTTTTCCAGGGTGCAAGTCATAGTATGGGAGGTCCACCTCTTCCACCTATGTTGATACCTCAATAGAAGAAAACATAAACAATTTCTATGTGAAGAGTGTATTTATTGTTTTGAATTAATCCTATATTGTTTGTTGTTTCAGGGTGCAAGTCATAGTATGGGAGGTCCACCTCTTCCACCAAATCCACCTCTTCCACCCATGTAGACACCTCAGTAGAAACAAACATAAACAGTTGTAAACAAAACTGTAGAGGAAAACAAATATTGTTGGAGGAAAACAAATATTTTGGAGGACAACAGGCACAACTAAAGGAATACAATAGTGTATAGATAATGCAGAATCCTCAAGATACATTTTACAGACATATTTCAAAATATTTTAGCTCATCTTGAGTTTTTTAGGTTTAATAACAATACATACTTTCAAATAACAAGGATGGGATGCAAATTGTGTTTCAATTTTAAACATGAACATGTTTATGTAGAAAATTCAATAGATTGAAATAAAATGTATATAATAATAATTATATTTTTTGTTTTTGTGTTTTAACAAAATATCTCATAACAACAGCGAATAATTGAAAGCTTTGTTATATTTGAACTCTAATTTGAAATTAAATTGTAGCACATGAACGAAATAAAATGTAAAGCCTTCATTTATTTCATCCTAGATAATACTATTGAAACTTGACTTCAATGAACCATTGACCTAAATTTTGAATTTTTTCTACAAGGGAAAAGATGTGAGTCGCTGACCAATTTGTTCGGTTCAACCATACTTCACACAAAAAAAGTTTTGTCAAAAGTCCTAAAATACTAGTATTACAAAAAACTTACTGTCTTTGGGTTTCATATAAACATACGATCATTTGAGATCATATAAAACTTACTTTATGTATCACACCGGAATAGCCTGACAACGGTAAAGCCAGATACCGTTGTCACAAATGGTGGACATAACCGTCGCTTCAACTGTTAAATCACTTGGTCCTCATTTCATGGAATTTTATCATCGCTAATTCTCGGCATGTATTAAGCTCTTGTGATAATGTATCATATGAAATCCCATTTTCGATCAAATTGGGTCGTGAATCGCAACAATATAGCGTCTTCGATATCGCCAATGACAACGGAATCAGAATTTGAGTAATTTTTAAAGACAACGGCATATTTAATTACAGCGTCCTTGTCCCGGATCTCATTTTGATCGTTTAAATTAAAGACTTTATTTCGATGGTAGAACAGTATTTACTGTACAATGAGTATAAAGACACTTTGATTGATTGTTGTTCTAAATGAATTTAGTCTAGGTGCTCTATTAAACATACAGTTCATGAAAATCCAATTGAAGCGATGGTTATGTCCGCCATTTGTGACAACGGTATCTGACTTTACCGTTGTCAGGCTATTCCGGGGTGATGTATAGGATGTACTGATGACCTCCTAAGATCTATAATGAAAAAAAGGTTTTGAAGTCTCTCAGAAATAACCATTTTTTGTTTTCACACTGTGTTTTAACGTAGGCCTACAGTAAAACCGAACACGATTTTCGGGATAAGCTGTAAGAATGCTATGGAGATTACCGACTAGAGACATCGTTTTTTAGACAGGGCCGTTTTTATCAAAAATAAAGATCTAATGGGGCAACACATGAACAGTAGCTAATAAAACCAAACGTCTGAAGTACTATGCAAACAAGATCTGCAACCAAAAAACAATCATACTCAAAAAATCAAAGGAAAATAACTGATTTCCGAACCAACTCGGTGGCCAAAAAAGTAAACAAAGACAAAATGGCGGAAGGCGGAAACAAACAAACCGAAACTGAACTCTTCAGCGAAGCTCTGCAAGAGCTACCAAGAAATGATGACCTGAAAAGGATGCTCATAGAGATTATAGACGCTAGAATAAATCCTATAAACGAAAGTCTGGCAAATATTGATGAAAAAATGACGAAATTCGAAAAAATCGAATCAGACATTGGCGTCATGAAAAAACAATTGAGCGAGAAAACCAAGAAACTGACCGTGGACATAGAGCAAAATAAGCGCAATATTCAACAAACCGAAGAGAAATTATTACGACTAGATCTCCAGAGAAGGCAAACAAACCTGATAATCGACAATATAGAGCAGAAAGGAGGCGAAAATGTAATAAAAACAGTCGAAACTTGCCTGGGAAATATCGGTTGCGCAGTTTCGATTTCGAATGCATACAGAATGGGAGCACCGGGAGGTCAAGGACGAATCGCACCAATCTTCGTGGAATTCCAAACACGACGAGACGTAGACCGAGTTAAGAAAACGGCTTGGACGAAACAGAACAGCAAAACAGTAAAAATCAGAGAAGACTTGCCGAACGAGCTGAGGAAACTACGGGGTAAAGCGTACGCGAACCATATAAAAGCCGCCAAACGAGAGCAGAAAAAATTTAGATGGGACGGCTGGATAAATTATTCATAGACAACGTACAGATTGACTTATCAGCCGAGATCGAAGAGACACGACAAGATATCACAAGAAATTCATAAAATAAGACTTTCAAATTTTTTATCCCCAATTGTTCTTCTAAAATTAGGCCCAGTCTCTAGACGTTTTTCTACCAAGCATCTTTTTTCCTTAGGACGTTCCTCTTTTTGTTTACACATTTTTTATCTATTTTTAATTAATATTAATACTAAGATAACTAAAACAAACATGTATAATTTAACAAGAGTAGAGAGAGAGACAGGTAAGAACCAGGTTCACTGCAATAATAATGTCACTTAAAATAGCATCACTAAACGCAAAGGGTTTGCAAAATAGGATCAAAAGGAGAAAAATATTCAATCTTACAAGAAAAGCCAAAATTGACATTCTCTTTCTCCAAGAAACACACAGTGGATCCAAGCAAGAATCATTATGGTCTCAGGAATGGGGGTTCAAGGCTTTCTTCTCACAGTACTCACAAAATGCAGCAGGGGTAGGAGTACTCTTTTCAAATCGAAGTGACATAGAAATTATAAAAAATGAAACGGACCCAGAAGGAAGATATATCCTTATCCAGTGCCTGATGCATGGGAGGCCGACACTATTGATAAATGTTTATGGATTCAATCATGACAATGGAATTTTGTATCCAAAAATTAACGAGAAACTCAGAGAATATATAGACCACCAAATCATTATTGGAGGAGACTTCAATGTAATTTTAGAGCCGAATATCGATAAATATGGTGGAAGAGATGCAACACATGGAAAAACAAGAGAACAAATAAATGCACTAATCGAAGATTTCGATCTTCTAGATGTATGGAGACAGAAAAACAAGAGTATCAATGACTATACATGGGAAAACAACAATTCAACCATCAAGTGTAGACTAGACTACTTTCTTGTTTCAGGAGACGTATTCCAATGTACAGAAGAAGCCATAATAGATCCAAACACATATATCAAGATTACAGACCACAAACTAATAACCCTTAAATTAAAATTTACAGATCAACCACGTGGCCCCGGACTTTGGAAAATGAATAACAAATGGATTGGAGATGAAGAATATGACCAATTGATCAAACACAGTATTCAAGAAACAACAAAGCAAAACACAACTCTACAACCAAATATACTATGGGAGTTAATAAAGTTTAACATAAAACAAGTTACAGTCAAATTTTCAAAGACTAAAAAAGAAGAATCAAAAACTAACCTTGATATCAAGATGCGCCGCAGAATTCTACTACATCAACAAAAGCAAAGTGCTGCTTGCCAAATAGAGCAAGAGAGACTAAATAATGAAATTGAAAACCTTGACAATGAAATAGACATTTTAAATACAGAAAAAGCAAAAGCTACACTATTTAGAAGTAAAGTTAGGTGGATTGAAGAAGGTGAAAAACCCACAGCTTACTTCCTCAAACTGGAAAAAAGGAATTTTCTTAACAAAACAATAACAAAGATAGAAACAGACGACGGGAAAATAGTTGAAAAACAAAAAGACATAGCTCTAGAACAAATGAAGTTTTATGAAAAGATATACAGATCAACCAATGTAGATGAAGAAAAACACAAAAGCATATTCTTCCCGGAAGAGAAAGACACCGAGGAACTAACCGAAGACCAAAAACAAAATTGTGAAAATGATATAACAGAAGCAGAATGCCTCACACAACTAAAACTGATGAAAAGAGGAAAAACTCCTGGCAGTGATGGCATAAGCACAGATTTCTATCAACACTTCTGGAAACTTTTAGCCCCATACCTGCTAAAAAGTTTTGAAGAAACATTTTTAAAAGGAGAATTGACGATCGAACAAAAAAGAGGTGTGATAACATTAATACCAAAAAAAGGCAAAAATCCAATGAAGCTTAAAAACTGGAGGCCTATAACGCTCCTAAATACTGATTATAAGCTACTTACAAAATTGATAGCCTCCAGAATAAAACAAGTGCTCCCGCACATAATTAGTAGTGACCAAACAGGTTTCTTAAAAGGACGTTATATCGGAGAAAACATACGTCTTGTGATTGATCTAAATGAACACATGAAAAATGAAAACAGATATGGAATCATAACTCTAATTGATTTTCAAAAAGCCTTCGACACAATTGAGATCAGCTACATACTCAAGTCGCTAAAATACTTTAACTTTGGTGAAAATATAATAAAGTGGGTAAAAATTTTCTATAACAACATCAGTAGCACAATACTCAATAACGGTTTTACTTCACCTTACTTTAACCCAACTAGAGGAGTAAGACAAGGCTGCCCATTATCTCCTTACCTTTTTATCATTGGAGCAGAACTACTAAGCGCAGCCATAAGAAGAGCAACAAACATACAAGGAATTAAACTGAATGATGGCCTGAATACAGAAGTAAAGACAACACAGTTTGCTGATGACACTAAACTACTTCTCCAAGATGAAACATCGATAAAGCCAGCTATAAAATTACTCGAGAAGTTTGGAGAGACATCAGGTCTATGCATCAACAAAGAAAAGACAGAAATAGCCATAATTGGTGAAAAAACAAATCAACGTGAAATAGAAACCCTGTGTGAATCATTGAACTTAAAATTAGAAAAAAGAAAAATTAAACTCTTAGGTATAAACATTCCTATGAATGGGGATAAAATAGAAGACATTAATTATCAAGGAGCTTTGGAAAAAATTGAAGCCCAAATCAAAATGTGGAAGCAAAGAATGATTACACCGATAGGGAAAATTCATGTAATCAAATCACTAATGATCTCTCAATTAACCTTTATGCTAGCAGTTTTACCCCTTCCATCAGATGCATATCTTAAAGATGTTGAAACAAAACTATACAAGTTTATATGGAATGGCAAAAGAGATAAAATTTCAAGAAAAATATTACAGTTAGAACTGATCAAAGGAGGACTAGAAATGGTTAACCTAAAAGCCTTTGCCAAAAATGCAAAGGTTAAATGGTTAAGAAAATATTTCAATACAGATGATCAAGGTAAATGGAAAACTTTATGGAAAATGAAGCTAAAAAACTATGATAATAAGGGGAAATGGAATTGTAATGCTAAGGACCCAAAAACACTAGAAGACAAGGTGAACATTACAAGCATAGATGAAATACTAAAAATATGGTGTGAGCTACACTACAAAGCAGCAAATGAACTTGTCACGAAGGAAGAAATAAAACATCAAATTATATGGAATAACAGCTGCATTCTGGATAGAAAAGAAACTATAAACAACAATGAATGGGAATCTAAGGGAATAAGGCATATACATCAGTTATATAAAGAGAACAAATTATTAAGATTCCAAGAACTGGAAACCAAGTATAATTTAGCTCATCAAACATTCCTAGACTATAACAAAATTGTACTATGTATACCATTATCATGGAGACAAAAAATGGTGGAAGGGGGAGAAATTTGTACAAACTGGAAGCCACTCAGAGAACAATTGCCAAACATCTCAAATAAAAGCACTTATAGGATGTTTAAAAGACAGATAAAAATACAACCAATAAAAGCACAAGACAAGTGGCTTAGGGTGCTAAATGTAAATGAGGATAACTATAAAGAATGGGATGAAATATACACCACTTATAAAGTGATAACAGAAAATGCGAAACTTAGATACTTCCAGTTCAGATTATTACACAGAACAATTTACTTCAATAAAATGCTGAACAAAATGAATATAGAGGGAAAAAACACGCCAATGTGTACAATATGTAATGAAAACCATATAGATAGCATCGAACATGGATTCCTAGAATGTACAGCCACAAAGGACTTCTTGAGAACGTGCTATGAGGAAGCTGGTGAAAACATACCAGAAAATAAAGACATTATTTTTGGATACAGTAGAGAAAAAAGACAACAAAATAAGCTACTGATCCATATGAAACATTTCATATACTTAAGAAAATTAGGAGACAAAAGACCAGAACTAGGTCCTTTTAAAATATACCTCCAGTGTCAAAAAGAAGAAGAAAAATACATAGCGAAGAAAAACAACAAAATGGAACAACATGAGACACTATGGAATATCTGTAGCAGACTTTTGCGTTAATATCATCAATTTATACAAAGTGACAAAAATCATCAATCTTCCTTTCTCTCTCCCTCTCTCTCCTACAGTAAACAACATTAATAACCTGTAAAAAATAATATGTGAAAATAAAGATTTATTTATAAAAAAAAAAAAAAAAAAAAAAAAAAAAAAGAATCGATAAGTAGTATCATATTAAGAGGCATTTATGAATATGAAGTATCATATTAAGACGCATTTATGAATATGAAGTATCAAATTAAGACGCATTATGAATATGAAGTATCAAATTAAGACGCATTTATGAATATGACGCAAGGAGGATTGACTCCAAGAGTGCAACATCAGTGTCCCATATATAGGCATGTCGTGATACAAAATTCGCATTCAAACAGCCGCCATTTTATTCACTTTAACATTTGAATCGTGAATATTGCTCTTATTTCCGAACGAAAACTTCCAAAACTCACAAGAAATGATCGAGATATTGGTTCGAATCTTTTGAAATGTTTATTTTGAATTCATAGTCGGTTTTCAGTAATTTCAGAAAATAACGACATTTCGACGTTTTCATTGTTGGAAAATATCGAGTTTCGATCCTGGGAGCCAATACTCCTTGAATATGAAGTACTAAGAAGCATTTATGAATATGAAGTATCATATTAAGACGCATT